GCACAGCATATGATTGCGAAGACCATGGCCTGTATCAGGTGCTCCTTAGTCTCTAGACTGACATCATTGCTTCTCATTACTCTGGAAAGGTTCCTGACAACAGATTTACCCAATGTAATTAATCTTTTTATTTCCTGACTGCTAGTGCCAAGAGTGTTGATTGTAGAGCCGAGCAAGGTGTAATTGTTAACAACCTCATTCTCTTCTCCATTCATCATGGTGCTGCCAATTGGACCAGTGATGACAATCTTTGTCTTCTTGATGTTGAACTTCAATCCATATAGAAAACTACAGTCCTTGACCTTCTGCAGCAAGCGATTAAGACCTCCTTAATTTCAGCAAGCAACATTGTGTCATCAGCATAATGAAAACCCATCTTATTTAGGGTGTGTTTATTTATGTTGTTTGGTTGATTTAATACGAAGCATGATCCTTGACAAATTCTTTTCCAGGGCTGACCTCTCCTGATGTTGTTGTTGTTATGTGCCATCGAGTGAATAAAAGTCATAGCAATAGCTCTAGTACAATATGCAATAGCATAGTACAATAGCTCTGAATCCTGCCATGTCCTAAGCCAGTCTCACTGACTCCAAAACGCCTGCCACTATGATCCCAGTCATGGTATCAATCTGTCTCATCCATGGTCTTCCTCTCCTGTGTGTTTTCCCTCCATCTTTCCAAGTATGATGTCTTTCTCCAAGGACTGGTCTCTCTGGGCAACATGTCCAAGTATGTGAGATGGAACTTCAAAATCTTTGCCTCCAGAGGGCAACTTGGTTTCACTCTCTCCAGAAATGACCTGTTTGTTCTTTTGGGAGTCCACAGTATGTTCAATTGAAGCTCAACATCAAGAAAATAAAGTTTCTCGTGTGTGGTTCTAATCCACCAGATGCCTTGCTGAAGAAGGAAGGGGAGACCTCCTCCTTGTGCCAGTCAGATCCAAATCGAGGGTACACCAAATTAAAAAAAAAAAAAAGCAAGCCAAGTTTCTCGCCTCTGGGCCAATTGGCAGCACTATGATAGATGGAGAAGAAATTGAGATTGTTAACAATTTCAGTGTACTCGGGCCTACACTCTTGTAACCAGCAACCAGGAAATCAAAAGACAAACTACATCAGAAAATCTGCTGTCAGGGATCTCTAGAGTTCTGAAGTGCAAAGATGTGATGTCAGTCTAGAGACTAAGGTACACCTGATTGAAGCCGTGGTCTTTTCATTTACATGCTATGCATCAGAGAGCTGACCAATGAATAAAGATGATAGAAAAAGAATCGATGCCTTTGAGATATGATGCTCCTGATACATGAGACTGAGTCTTGACATCCAGGCATTCTTAGGGGCATTCTGGCTGTACTTATCCTAAGACTGAGTTGCTTGTTCTTTTGGTAGTACACAGTATATTTAGTATTCCATTTATTTAACTGGAACATCATACTTTAAATGTGTCCATTCTTCTTTGGTCAGTACTATTCACATACATGTTGTTGTGTACTGTAGAGTAGGAACCAACCCATAGCTGACCCTCTGGTGGGTTTTCAGAGGCAGTTAATCCACATGGGAGGAGGTTGCCGATCCCTCTTCTGTGGAGCAGCTGGTTCAGGCATACCTTAGTCTGCAAGATGACATCTTTGCTTTTTAGCACTTTAAAAGGTGTTTTGCAGCGGATTTCCCCATTACTTTGATTTCTAGATTTCTTCTTTCATGTGCATTCATTGTAGATCTAAGTAAAATAAATACCTTTCATTATTTTGGTAATTTTACTTTTTTGTGATATTGTTTATTGATCCAGTTGTGAGTTTTCTTTTGTTTGAGGGGTAATCCATACTGGAAGCTTTTATATGTGTTCTTATAAATAAGTACTTCAAACCCTCTTCACGTTTTTTGCAAACAAGATCCTCTACGTATTGCTGGTTATTAATGAGTCTTCTCCAAGCTGTTTTTTTTTTTCATACAGTACAGTGTCTCAGATTATTTGGTCAGCATGCAGATTTGGTTCTCTGGTGCAGCTGCTGCTATGTTCTTGCAGGGCAGGCAGAGTTGAGGTAGCTGGATCAGGTTAGAAGCATTGTCCCAGATGAGCAGAGAGAGAGAACTTCGCAGATTCAGTTCTCTTTATATGAGAGCTTGGGTATAGACTACATTCTTAGCAGAACTAAGGGTGGTCATTTGGGTCTTGCCTTCTGGTAGGGTGGAGCCTCAGGATGTATCCATTATATTTGCATGTTGCCACCTGGTCAAGTTGCAAGGACAAAGATAATGGTCTAGGAAAGTAATTTTGAACAACAGACCTCACTACACAATACTCTTGAATGTTGAGTAGCTAAAGCAAATGGAAGAAATAATGATAAAAGAACTGAAGGTTTCTCGAGTGGTTTGTTGTAGTTGTTGTTATGTGCCATTGAGTCACCTGTGACTCATAATGACCCTATGTACAACAGCCCTAAACTATGCTCTATCCCTTGCCAATCTTATTGTCTCCGACACATCTATCCCCATTACCACAGTGACTGAGTCAATCCATCTCATCGAGGGTCTTCCTTTCCTGTGCTGTCCCTCCACCCTCCCAAACATGACGTCCCTCCCCAAGGACTGATCCTACCTTGCAACATGTCCAAAGTATGTCAGATGGAGCTTCAGAATCCTTGCCTCTACGGAGCAGCCTGGCTTCATCCTCTCCAGAACAAACTTGTTTGTTCTCCTAGCAGTCCAGGATACATTCAATACTCTTCTCCAGCACCACAGCTCAAAGGCATAAATTCTCCTTCTATCCTCCTTGGTCATTGTCCAACTCTCTGATGCATAAAAAGTAATTGCAAAGACCATAGCCTGTATCAGATGCACCTTAGTCTCCAGAGTGACACCATTGCTCTTCAGTACCCTGGAGATGTCCCTAACAGCAGACTTTCCCATAGCAATACATTTTTTATTTCCTGGCTACTGGTGCCAAGAGTGTTGACCCTGGAGCCAAGCAGACTAAAGTTCTTAATAATCTCAATCTCTTCACCATCCATCCTGATGCTACCAATTGGTCCAGTGGTGAGAATCTTTGTGTTCTTGATGTTCAGCTTCAGTTCATCCTGATGGCTGCAGTCCTTGACCCTCTGCAGCAAGCATTTCAGGTCCTTCTCAGTTTCAGCAAGCAGGGTTGTGTGTCATGTACATAACACAGATTGTTAATAGATCTTCCACCAATCCTGACGCCACACTTCTCGTAGAACCCAGCCTCTCGGATAATCTGTTCTGCATACAGGTTGAAAAAGTATGGAGATAGGACACATCCATGGCGTACGCCCTTCCCAGTTTTGAACCATGCAGTGTTTCCTTGCTCTGTTCTGACAACTGCCTCTTGGCCAAGTATAGGTTTCGCATTAGAATGATTAAGTGTTCTGGGCTTCCAGTTCTTCTCAGAGTCAGCCACAGTTTGTTATGATCCACACAGTCCAACGCCTTTGCATAATCAATGAAACACAGGTAGGTATTCTTCGGGTATTCCCTGCTTTCAGCTAAGATCCATCTAACATCAGCTACAATATTCCTAGTACCACGACCCCTTCTAAACTCAGCCTGGACTTCTGGCAGTTCTCTGCTGATGTCCTGTTCCAGTTGTTTTTGGATAATCTTCAGTAGAATCTTGCTTGCGTGTGAAATCAATGATTGTTCTATAGTTTCCACACTCGGTTGGGTCACTCTTCTTTGGAATGGGAGGGAGTGTAGGATTTGCTATTTTTTCTCTTTCTGTAGGGGAAGATTATGATTTCTCTTGTCCAATGTCTAAAATAATTTGTTAATTAAAAATCTAAATTGTATTATCATGTAAAAAAAGCTTTCTGGCCTTTAAATGGATGAACCCAAAGTCATTTGTCAGAATAGCGAAAATTCCAAGTAGTAGATACAGATCATGCTTCATGAGTCACTTTGGATTTATAGTAATCACTGGCCCCTGCAGAATAATGTGGGCACTGTAGTGGAGGAAGGAGGGAGGATGTGGGACAGATGCTGCCACACCCTGGGCTGGCCTGCTGTGGCAGCTTGTGTTTAGAAAGTGAACATGCCACTGCTCCAGAAGTTTTAAACTTTCTGTTGGGAAGTACAATTTTTATTTATGCATTTGTTCAGTGACTATTGGTTATTAGTAACACAATTGTAGTGATAATAGAGTTTCAAAGCATTGAAAATGGGATAATATAATTATTGTGGCTGACTATATCAAAATTCTTTAAGTCTCTCCTCTCTTCTCTCTCTTTAAAAGTAAGTCTCCTTTGAAAGTCTTGTTTTCTTTGCCATTAAGTTGGAATCGACAGAGCTGGCCCACCAGTGGGTTTTTGGAAATTGTATATATTACAGAGAGAAATTGGCCCTCTTTATCCTGTGGAGCTGCTATTGGATTAGAACTGCTAGAGAAGAGCAGTACAGTTCTTTATGGATTAGGCTGGTCATCATTCTTCAGATCTATTTTCAGTACTTATGCTTGCCTCTGGAAACCCTTAGAACCTGGAGAAAGGACAAAAGTTATACAAGTGTCCAGGGCTTTGGTTCATAGGGTTGCTATGAATTGCCTATAACTTGACGGCACTTAAGAACAAAAATAATGTTAGATAGTAATCTTGTTTTCTGGCTTTTAATTATCTTATTTTTAATTTTTTGAATTTTCCTTTAGTCTAGTGTCCAAGACAGTCCCTCATGTGTAATACTGGTCTAATATACTTTTCTTTAATTAGATAATTTTGTGTATATCACTATCTTTTGAAAGAAAAGAAGAAAAGTAATTATTAAATCTGTCCAGTATATAAAGTTAACTCTCTAGGGAAATAGTTCCCACTTTACCAGTAAAATGTAGTATTTCATAAAAACAGAATTTTAAGGGGAAAAGAATAATACCAACATTTTACTTTTAGCTAGTTTAACGTAAAAAGTGAACACCTCTTTCCCAAAAAGTGACATAGTCCTAAGCTTTCCAGTAGAAGACAATGTGATTTCATGATTTCTTTTTTTCTTTTTAAGGTACAGGAAAAACAATGGTGATGGACATGTTTTATGCTTATGTAGAAGAGAAGAGGAAAAAACGAGTTCATTTTCATGGCTTCATGCTAGATGTGCATGAAAGTAAGTTAATGATATATGATGATGATGTAATGATTTAATTAAGAACTCCAGTGGCACAGTGCATTACATGTTGGGTTCCTAACTTTGAGGCCACTGGTTTGAGTCTGCAGAAGAAAGATAAGGCAGTCTGCTCCAGTCGAGATTTACAGCTTCAGAAACGGCAAGAGTTGGAAAAGAGTCATCAAGAGTTGGAATTGATTTAAAGGCCATAGACTTGGTTTTGGGTTTTAGTGATTTTAGTAGGCAAGTATTACACAAATAGTTTTCTTCATTGAATGCACAAATAATGTATTTTTTTTAAAAAAAAA